TGCTGAACCAATGGTTGGCTTCTACTCCATTAAAGTCTTTTCTTAGTTTGTTCTTGCCTATTTTACATATACAATTTTATCATCACGATCTTTCTGTATTTTTTATATCCTCCTGCGCTTCATTAAACGTTTAGCTGTAGTTCCTCAGTATATCTTCAACAACTTTATCGATCTTATCTTCAATCAGACTTATTTCTCATTGTAATTATTCCTTTAATAGCGAGTTTCCTTTCTTTTAACTCCTCCCTTAATTTCCTGTAATGTTTACCGAATTTTCTGCCCCATTCTTTTTTGTTTTCTTTTAATTTTCCACCTACTTCTTCTCATTTTCTCTCCCATTCTTCCCGCTCTTCTTTTAATTTTCTTTCTATTCTAATTTTCTCGATCAGTCAATGTCGAATTGGCCAGTTAAACTCTGGAACTGAAGTTGATAATGTCATGCATAGCTGTAGCAGTGTAATTAAATCTTTCAGTAACAAGTGGTACAGCAGTAGTGGTAACACGTGTATACCAGATACGTTTTCCTATTCCATATGTTGTAGTAGGTGGCATTCCAGGGTGAAACTCCTGAGTCAATGCACAAAGAAGTGTGGCTGATTTTATTTTTGTAATTAATGATTCCTTTTCTAGAAGTTTTATTTTTCCGCCATTTATCTTTTCTACTTCAATGATGCTCTATTCTAGCTCTTTAATATCTTGTCTTTCTATACATTATTCATGCCTTTTTTTTCTTAATCTTCAATTTTATCTTCACTGCTTTTCTGTACTTTTTTGATGTCCTTCTGCATTTCTTCAAACTTTTAGCTGTAGTTCTTCTATACGTCTTCTACAGTTTTTTCGACCTTGTCTTTGATCAGATTTATTTCTGATTTTAATTCTTCTTTAAACATTTAGGTTATATTTCTTTTAACTTCTCCTTTCAATTTCTGTCATGTTTTTTAAATTTTCTGGTCCATTCTTCCTGTTTTTCTTTCATTTTCCTATCTCTTTCTTCTAATTTACTATTCCATTATTGCTGGTATTCTATTAATTTTCTAGCTCTTTTTTCTTAGTCTTCTTTTAATTTCACATTTCTTTCCTCTTGGTTTTCTTTTCATTTTCCTGCCTCTTTCCTTTTGATCTTATCTTAATAATGTTACTATCGCAAGAAATTTCTCGCTCTCACTCCTTGATTTCGTTGTCGTTATTTCCAACAACTAAAGTATAGTCAAAGTTCTATTTTATTTTTACTACAATAACCCAACTTCTGACACTAGTATAATAACATTATTCTTTCATTGGCGGTTTCATTTAAATTATTTGTTAAAAATAACTCAAAGTTTAGTCCACGTTAACGATAACACTTTAACTACTTCCTTCCTTAATAATTTTAAAAGCTTGGATACTGTGGTATCTTTTAAGCTACCATTACAAATGATGCTAACTGCAGAACAGTGACTTGAAATTACCTATACAGTTTTATATCTGGAACATTCGAGGGGCTAAAAACAACAATTCTATTTTATAAAGTATCTTTTATTTATAACCTACTCTCGAACAAACTGTAAAATCTTATGTCAGATCCTTAGAACTTTCTATGTCTAATCTGTTGTTACCATTATGACCTGCTGGTGCCTCTAGCTAACTAATAAAGTACTGTTACGACAGCGTAAGTCACGTGACCCTAGTAACACGTCATGATATTCTCGAAGGTTCTTGAATGCTCGAGTGTTTACTAGATGTACGTTATTCTTGTAGATAAGACCGCCAACAAGTGACGGCAACAATGGAATTGAATTGCTGACAGAGATAGAGACGG